AGAAAAACTTTGCATTGATTTGGAGTGAAGCCAGAAAACTAAAAGGTTTGAATCTTTACCCGTTTTTCTTAAAGTAGAACGAATATTTGGGTTTGGGTCTAGTTATCCTTGAGTAGTATTTTTTACAAGTTGTCCATATAAAATAGTTAGCATACAAAGTGCAGAGCTTGAGAGAGCTCGCTGGCTTGTCTCTCTGCCTACCCGTGGACAACCAGAAATCCAAGTAATATTCATGCTACACGACTGCTGCTTGCACAATTAGCCAAGCATTATTCACTCAAGACCGTGCAGTTCAAATAATTTTAAAAGGAGCTCCGAAACATCAATTTGACAGTTTTAAGTCCCCGTGGGTTTAAATGGCGTTTTCTTTGTTCTGTAAACCACCCATGTGCTGAAGTGGAGCCACAAAGAAACACACACAGACATGTACAGCACACAATTTCTGTGACTGGTCTCTAAAATAAGCACTGGGTGAAATGTGTTGCCAACAGGCCGTTTTCGACACACATCGAGACACCAGTGAAATGCAGATCTTAGTCTGGACTGGTTCTTAATTCTTCCGGGCTTTATGGGTGCTGAGCGTGGTGGCAGGAATGGGAGGCGGCTGAGAACAATATGGTCAAGTCTTTCATCAGACATCTGTCATCTCATCTTCCATCTCATCTCCCTCCGTTTCACCTTCTGCCACACCTTCTTCCTCCTCTTCCTCCTCGGATGTCACATCCAATTCCTCCATCTGGGAGACGCACTTTGGACACGAGCAGACAAACAGGTAGTTCTCCCTGTGAAGAAAGCGCCCACTGGTCATTGTTTGCATCTCTGATAAGAGCTTTTTTAATTAGAACCATTCTGCACTTTGCTGTTAAGAAAATCTTTTTAAGTGGCTTCTGTGCACAAAAGCAACCGTCTGTTCAACACTGTAATTATACCTCCGGACCACAACACCGTCCTGTAATGAAACGACACCTTCGAGCCTGAGAATTAACACAGGATGCTCTAAAACCAGCATGCGTCTCAGAAACTTTGGATCATGCTAATCAATGAGCAGAGTGAGCACAGGAGTAACCATCAGACCCACCAGCCTCTCTGCTTCATCCTATTATTGCCTGGAAGGCTTTTTATTGATCCTGATGAATTCATAACAGTATGACCCCGTTCAAGTGAAGTATCCCAGGGATTACAGATGTTTACCTCAGAATCTTATGTCTGCTATGTCGGCTTCGGTCCCGCTGACAGCAGTCCAAGTAACTGATGCAAATCTCCTGAAGATGGAAAAGACACACAAACACGCTCCTGAACTGGCTGAAGAATCCCAACATCAATATATTACTGTACCATAACAGTTAAACTACTCGTGTGGCAATTTTTCCAGATTTTGCACAAAACATTTTCCCAAAATGCCGTTGCTTCATCATGCAGGAGGTCGCTCTCTCGCTCTCCTAAACGCTGCAGTCTTTGCATTCAAAGGAGATCTTTGCTGTGAAAGTAGCACGGCCGCCGTGACATTACTGTGCCGCGCGGATGCAAGGCTTCTCAATCTTTCTGACAGCTTGACAAACCCGCTCCCATCCTTAAAGTCTCAGCCTTCTAATGCCCCCTGACAAAGGGGCACACAAATGTTCTGTGCAGTCTATTTCAGGCCAGAATTTATCACTCAAAACTCAGACGTGTCAGCTCACCTCCCCCTGGTTGATGTCACAGAGGGCACTGAGGTGAAGGAGGAAATTGTTGTCGGGGAACGACACCTCTGCGTTGGGTATGCAGCTGTGGTTACCTGCAGAGGTCAAAGAAGCCATATGGTTGTGTGTGTCAGGGGAGGTTATCATATGGCCTTTTAGCCCAGACTAACAGCATCTTTAATCTGAAGTAACAGTTTTCATAAGAGAGACATCATCAGCACTTACATGAGCTTTGAAGCAGAAAGAGTCCAGACCCCTCGCAGTTCAGAAAGTCTCCGGTTTCTGCACAGAACAGACACATTATGCATATTTCTGACCTTTGCTTGGATACGCACGGGTTTATGTAACAACCACAGCATTGGTCAAAACACACATATACAAACAAAACTCGGACAATTCAACCGTCGCAAATCTGCTCAGTTGAGACAAAAAGAATTTATTGTAGAAAATACTGCAACACTGAGATAAAACTGTGACCTTTTTCAATGTCCTTGTACAGCTGGTCAATAAAAGAGTCCAAATGCTCCCTCTGCTGGGCAGGAAGCTCAAGTGCATCGCAGGCATGAACCCACTGGCTCAGCGAGCTGCGTTTGGATGACAGAACATAAAGACAGTGGAGTGTCAGACCCATGTGAGCTCCAGTGTTGAGCTGGTTAAAGGTGATAGTTACCTGGTGCCGATGCCTTGTCCGTTGGTCCCCACCAAAGCAAACAGAGAGCGGAAACCCTCAGGGACAAACCACTGCAACACAGTCACACCTTTAATCATCCACGCAGGGAGCTGGCAAATTAGTAATCAATACATTTGTTTCCTCTTTGATTATACAAATCAAAGAAAACGTAAGAAAATAGAGACGTCAGATTTTCACTTCAAGCCCAAAGTAACGAATACAAACAATTATAATGAGAAGAAGAAGAAACATTTGACAAGCTGTGATCAAAGAACAGAATCCCAGAAAAAGTCTGAGCGTCCGCTGGAATAAACCAGATTTTGATTCCTCAGAAATTATAATATAATCATAATTTAAGTCTTTTTCTAAAACTAAGCAAACTGACTCATATCATACAAGCAGGGTGAAGGACGTCGTTTTATTTACTTGTTTTTGATAAAGTTCAACCATCAACTTGGTAAATCAAGTAGTACCTTCTTTTCTTCCAGCCTAACTGTTGTTATGGGATTATTTACTTGTACAGGGAGGCGTTTGCTCCATATGACCAATAGTGAACATGGAGCTTCACAGTTCTTACAAAGGCCGCAAACAAAGACGGTTTAAAGACATGAAGGCAGCTTCAAGGTGCAGAAATTAAGCCAAACCCAGGAAGTGCTTTAAAGCTGCATCTCAAAGCTAACAGATGTTGACAGCTGTGGTTGCAAAAAAAGGATTTCTGATCCTATAGAAGTGAAAAACAGCATCCAGTTTCTACCTCTGCAAACACGTTGGGCTTTATCATTTCAGGTCATATTGAATAAAAGATTCCATTTTGTAAATCATGAGGAGGATTATCCATGCTATGCTCATTGAAGATTTGTGACAAATAAGCTGGTTGAAAGGAACAAACCTGCTCTGCTAAAGCCGAGAAGGAAAGCTGTAAAAAGGTCAATCTCGAGGAAACGTATCAAAACCATTTCATGCATCTAAACAGAAAATGAGCCGTGTCATGCTGAAACTGTCGTCATGTTTTTTTGAGACATTTTGAACCAAAAACACAGGCAGGTATTTATAATTCATTACTTTCTCTTTTTGTCGTTTCCACAAATTAATGTATTATTATTGTTTGATGTTGGACCACTGCTGTGTCTCAGTGTTGCAGGAAAACTTGTAAGCGAATGAGATTGTCTCGGCAAGTATGAAGGCGGGCAGTACTGCACAGACAGTGAGTGTCACTGGCATCGTGTTACGGTGAAAATGTTTGTGCCACATCAGACTACAACAATAAAAACAGTATTTTCTTGTCCCATAGCTTACATAAAAGATCCATATATCTTAAAGAGCTGAAGTATTGTCCAGCATCGTCATCTGGACCAAATGAAACATACTGGGCTCTGGGAGCATGTGAGGGGCATGCCAAGTGAGGTAATAATGATAATAATAATGATTACAGTCATTGGGCACTAGGTTTTCATGTGTTCAAATAAATAAATAAATACATTTAAAAAAAACTGTAAAAATGATTTAATAGGTCGAACAATATTAAGGAGGCAAAGGCGGCCAAATAAATCAGAGCTGTCAGTGAGCAGCTTTAATTAGCTGTCGAGCAACAAACGCTTTCTGTGATATTTTTGGCAGCATTGTCTAAAAAATGAATGAATGCTGGATTGAAAACAAGGAAACAATGTCTGCTGTGGCTTCACAGAACATACTGACCCGGCCGAGACGGTCGTCATAAAGTGCTTCTGTAAAAAGGCTGTGCAGCAAGGCCAGCTGCCCCTGCAAAAACACAATGAAATAACTTCATGTAATATTTTACATAACAGAAAATACACTTCACTTGTATGTTTGATGCTTATTCGAGCTGTGAAGAGCTAAGATCACCATAACAGCTTTTGACAGTTTGTATCTCAATGAATCCGCACGTCAGGCAGAAATAACAAGAAGGTAACTTACTCTGAACTGCTCTCCTAGGAGCTTATGGGCGATCTCCTCTTCCTCGTTGGCTGTCCGGCTGCAGAAGTGAGTAAACAGCTTCTGCAAGTGTGCTTTATCTTTGGCCTGGAAAACATAAATAATGTTTTGTGACTTACTGAATATCTCCTACACACCTACTTGTGTTTTGCATGATTTGTTTTTGGGGGTGTTTTTTGAAAGGGTTAAACGATAGTACTCATTCAAACCTGCATGAGTAATCTTAACATCCTATAACAGAATAGGAGTGGGGAAAAATGGATACTTTGTAGCATGGTGATATTTTGTTTGCTAATAATGTATGGATACAGGGACAGCAGAAATCGATA